GAATCCTGGCTAACCCCACTACTTCGAACGATGAGTTGGCCGGCTGAAGTTCCCGTGTCGCCACACTTTGGATTTCGTCGGGAAATATCTTAAATACATCGCATATGAAATATTTACGCAAAGGAACGTCACATACCTCTTTCAAAAGTAGATACCAATGCTTGCAAGGGTCAAGTGTGGCACTTGTAATCCTGCAAAGACTCTGCGTGGTTAAGTTAGCCGGTGGAAAGCCGCACGTCGAAAATCCGACTGCCTCTATGACTTCATTTCGAATGGTTTCGAAATCGAAAACATGATGCTTTTCGACATTTCGACATGAAAAATCTCGTCGAGGTTTAATATTATAATATTGGTAAGAATTTAACCAGGATACGAGGCCAAGTCGTGCGACCGCCACAGGTTTTGTACCAAAACAATAACATCGTGTACTACGATCGCAAAGCGTGAACACTGATCGATCCACCAAGTGACGCAATACTGGAAATTCGATACGGTTGTTATTCAGGTCGTACGGCACATGAAAATTGCGATATCTTTTGTTACTGTTTTATGGCAAACCAAGCGAAAGAATCATACCTAAATAATCGAAAGAGAGGCTTTTCGAATACGGCGCCTCGCCGGTATTGCCTCTTCTGTGAAAAGGAAGGATCTTTGAAAGACTACGTGATTAAAAATGTCGTTATAAGGAAACAGGCAGAAACAGAGAAAACGCAGTATTTTATGACCATTACGCGCACAGCAAACTTCATTTCACTTCATGATTTTGATTTTCATTGCTGACAGATGACCCCGCGTTGACTCGCACGCAATCGCGTATCTCTCGTGGATTCGTGGGCGCTAATCTGTGTAATTACATGGTGGTGTAATTAATGTGATGACAACCACCCAACGCCTTCTTCCCCAAACCTCGGCATCAGTTTACGATGCCTGTTGAGAATTTTTTTCTTGAGCAGAGCTCGTCATGGACATCACCTTTCCTATCATTTCTAATTAAGTAACGCTAAAGACAACAAAAAGAGAGCTAAATTAAACTGAACAAAAGTGATGATGTTGGAATGCGAAATAATTAACAAAGGTGACACAAATCTGTGTATAACTACTATTACTTTTTTAAGAGACATGAGCTTTGTTAATATCCCCATCCATGCAAGACTTTTCATCAAAGTTAGAATAGAGTAACATGAAAAACTAATATAGAACGAGTCGAACCGATTTCAACAATTTCACGCTACAGAACAAATTTAATACTTTTTCAGCTGCCAATAGGCTGTGAGGGTCCTATTCAAAATATGCAGAGGTTTTGCGCAGTATAATTTTTGGAGAACACACATTGCTCATTAACCTATTACACTAGTAAATCCACTGGGAGGTGACACAAAAGCAATTGAGGACTTTAAACGAGGTGTATCTCAAAGATTTCTTATCTTAATTTCAAAAACTCATTAATAATTCAGAGGATTAACAATCTATCAAAACATCGATAAGACATCACATGCATGATCCATAATACCTGGTAATCAGCGCTCATGTCTACAACATTCATTTGTAAGCTTTGAACAGTGTCCACTTCGACTTTGACTCCTCCTTCTTTAAAGTTGGCGTCTCTATTTCTTCTTGAACTTTGCCACTCACCAACTCACAGCATGTGTTTTTCTCACCTTTATCTAAATCCCCCGAGAGACATGGGGTTTTGAAGCCGTTCAAAAAACTCGCACTCGTGTTTTATTGGCTCTAAAAACACTCGGCCCCACCTCGTGTAATAAACCCGATAAAACACTCCTGCTCGTTGTTTTAAACATTACCTAAAGCAGGTGCTTAAGCTTACCTGTCTCTCCCTCTTTCTCCCACCTCCCCCTCCCTCCCCCTCTCCACCCCCTCTACTCTCCCTCTCTCTCTGTCTCCCTCCCTCTCCCCCCTCTCTCTGTCTCCCTCCGCCGTATTGTTTCTGATTTGCTTCTTTGTTTTTTTTTTTTAATAGATGTTTCCGCGCCTGTCTTTGCCGGCTGCCCTTCAAACATTTTAAGCACTGTTGATAGAGGTAAAACGTCATCCCACGTGACCTGGACTCATCCCACAGTTACAGACAACTCGGGCTTTGTTCCAAACATTATTCAGTTTGGAAAAAAACCCAGAGAGTTACTTTACGCAGGGGAACACAACATACGCTACTTGGCCTCTGATAAATCAGGAAACGTTGCTGAATGCAGATTTAAGATCTTTCTTCAAGGTAAATGTTTTGCAAAATGCGCTGAGGCCACAATTACATTTAAGAGGGTCAAAACTGTCGAATCTAACAGCTATTTTTAATTGTACAAATCATAATGAATTTGACAAGTTGAGAATAACGAGAAAGATTACTTTAACCCCTTTATTAAGACAAAGTTTAGAGGAAATTTCTTCTCTTATTAATATTTAACCAATCCACTAGCATGGAAATTATCCGAGAGGAAAATGCAAAAGAGCGTTTCTTTTTGTCACTTTGAGATGAATAATGTTTGAAAACAAGATAAAAAGATTGCTAAATGACTTAAGAATTGAGAGGAAAAGATAGACATGCAACGAATGGCGAAATCACTGGTGTGCCTCATGATACTGTCCTAACTGGCAAGAAGCGTTTGCGCCATATGTGCCCCCTCACCCACAATGTTTTCTTCAATTTTACAGTTTTGCGATGCTCACCTATACTACAATCTCCAGTTGGAGGAAGCTCTTTTTGTACCAAGGGAAACCAGTATGGATCCGAATGTTCCTTCGCGTGTCATACTGGACACAAGATGAAAGGCTCTGCCTTTAGAGTGTGTGAGAAGGACCCAGTTACTTCCCTTGGGTCCTGGACAGGAAACGAGACAAAATGTGATCGTAAGTTCAGATCCTACGGGGTGTGTTGTATATTTGTCAGAGATCCTTTTTTCAGTCAACAGCCTCGGAGTTAAGCATTTTTTGGTTGTAGCAACAATCCGAGGTTTAAAAAAACTACGTTGCATGATCAACGGGAAAATAGTCCAAGGAACTTTAATAGACGAAGTCACAGAATTTACTTTGAGCATTTTTGTGTAGTGATCAAGTGCCCGCGTCTGATCCCTCCTGCCCACAGTAAACAATATGGATGCTGGCGTGGCTCTGTTGACAACACTTATGGCGACAAATGTCTGTTGTACTGTGACTTGGGGTATCGGTGGGTAAATGGATCAACGGAGAGAATATGCCAAGCTAATGGTACATGGTCTGGAGAAGAGCCCTTCTGTGAAGGTAAGGAGGACAGCGCAAGCTGATTAGTCTGAATTCACTTTCCACTGGATCCAATATCATGTTTGTGTTCTTTTAATTTGTTCTACAAACGGGATAAGAGACATAAAACTAGTAGTTGGAGCTTGTTTCATGAGCCACTCGGTGAGACGATAAATATGGCGAGGTTATTAGAAAATTCATGCAAATCAATTACTTTTACTTCAACTAAAACCTCTTCACTATCAGTAATAGATCCAGCAAACAAGATCTACAACTGACAAGCAAAACGATTATTTTCCTCTTTTTGTTTTGGCTTTATCTTTAATAGGGAGTGTGCTCCTTCTCGTAATCAAAGCAATTCCTAGTTCAAAAATTTTTCAAAGGCAAAAAATTTACTCGATAGTTTTCATTCATTCATGATCCCCAATACAGTGTACAAAGAGCAGAATTCTGTTGTTATATTATAATTTTGAGAATAATGTTCGCTAACGAATTTTTTTCTTGTAGCTGTCCGCTGCAAGTCTCTACAAGCTCCGAAAAACGGGAATATTTCTCCAACTTCATGCACATCTTCTCCAGAGTACCACACTACATGTCTTATCTCCTGCCGAAAAGGTTACAGACTTTATGGAGAATCAATAACAACTTGCCTTAGAGATGGAGGGTGGTCGAATAATGCCACTGCAATGTGCAAAGGTTAGACAGAAAATTATGGGAAAATAGGGCTTAGAAAATTAAAGTTGCGATTTTGTTTACGTGTTCTTTGATACGTCAGGGATACGTCAGAGAGCCATCAATATGGGTGCTCCAGAGCTTTTGAAATCTTCTTATCCAATAAATATTGTGGGCATTTATGCAAAATACGGGTTAGTAGAGGACGCAAACGCATGTATTGCTTTGTAAATGAATCAGACCCACAACCTTCTGTTCAAGTGTTCCTACGCAAGTCAACAGTTGAAACAAAACAAAACAGACAAACAACAGACCGAAGGAACATTAAGAATTGTGTGTTGTGCGTGATTCGAAAATACATCAGGTTTTCTCTACTACGCCTCTTAAATGGTGGACAAAGCTCGCGTTAGTCCTTTAATGAATCAAGTCCAATTTCATAAACCAGGGACGGCTTCACCGCTTCCTTTTTCTGAGGTTTCAGGAAGTTAGCCGCAGTTTTAACTTAAAGCTCTCCTTAGAATCTAAATGGTCTGCGTGGCAGTTTTCATGACGTTGATTTGGGCAGGGATTTGGGCAGGCATTTTTCCAAGACTAAACATGATGAATTCCTCGATCAATTTGGAAGGAAACAAAAAACAAAGAAATGTGCAAACAAACCGACTAGGGAGATTTTCTCTTATTAAGCCTTTTTCTTCCCCAATAAGTTACATTTGCAATTAATCATGTCTACCTACAGACGTGGAAAGTCCTTCCTTTCGTTTAACCTGTCCAAGTGATATCGAGAGGTATGCAGACAAGGCAAAAAATTATACACAAGTGTTCTGGCCTCCCGTTATTGCCACTGACAACTCTGGTCTGGCACCGAATGTGACTTCTAGAGGTGTGCAAGGCATATACTACAGTGGGAAGCACGAAGTCAGTTACAACGCTTCTGATGGAGCAGGAAATTTCAGGATCTGCAAGTTTCACATCACCGTCAAGAGTAAGCGATTTTAAATTGTCCTGCGTGATATAAAACTCCATGAAGATTAATTATTAATAAGCGATCTTGTTACGCTCATCAAGACTATTTATTTTTTAGCAATCTGAGAAGGTATTGATATAGGATTGACAACAGAAATCCTTTGAACAGGGAGTCTCAGCCAAGAATCAAGACTATGAACACAAAGTTGATGCGAAGTTTTGCTCAGTTAATCCTTTTTATACTACTGCCAGAAAAATCGACTTATAACTAGCTTGAATGGCTTGATTCTTTTTTTAATTACTTTTACTTTTCTTTTTCTACACGCTCAAAAACTGATTAGTTTCACAGCCCTAGATATCATTCGGGTTCTTTTGGCAAGCATTTCGTTTAGAGAAAAAAAAATGTTATTCATCAACCTGGTTTGGTTTGTATTGTATTGCATATTAAAATCCATATACTCCATGTATGGAGTATGGAGTTTAACTGATGAGTGGATCAACTTTTGTTGGTCTACGAAATAGGCTGTATTAAAATCCATATGTGCGTCACTTGAGTAGTCCATTTGCTACTATATATATAGAGGCAATGTGGCACACGAGGACGGACTATGTATTGAGCACTGTTCTACGAAAATCAAGTCACACTTTATATATATATATATATGTACATACATATTATGTTTCTTCCCTTTTTTTAGCCTTGAGATGTCAGACGCTGCTCTCTCCGCTGGGAGGATCGCTTTTAGGAGATTGTGAAAACATTTATGGGTCGACATGCAAAGTGGCTTGTCAGGATGGCCACAACTTAGTTGGGTCTAGCATTCTTACGTGCCTTAGGAAACCAGGTCGCAGAACAGGATATTGGAATGGTTCTTTCCCATTCTGCCGGGGTAAATAATAAGATTATCTCTTTATATGGCAAAAAAAAAAGTTACTACTTTCTATTGATATTCTTAGCATGAGCATCCAATGGGCATCAGAAGTCAAGATTGTCAGAATTACAGAAATAAACATTCTAAATTTGACGGAAGATTAACTTCACTACCGATTATGCAGCTACTTTAGCTACCCGTTTTCAGTCTAGGGACGACAATCAAAAGCATAGCTTTTTAAATTGAATTTAGAGAGCCGTTAATAACGTCCAATATTCTAAACCACTGAATAGCATATCTCTAATTTGATGATTTGGTTAAAGCACTGCCTTTCAAGAGTACAATCAATTGCATAAGATTTCAAAACATTCAATTTGTAAATTAAGGAGGACTTTCTTGACATTTAAAATGAAATTAGTTAGTAATTATAGAGTGAATCTGAATTAATCAAAATTGCACAAAATAAAACTATTGTGGTTTAATAGAATTTATTGAGAAAGAGGGTAATTATCTAATTGTGGTGAAATGCGTATAGTGAACAAGATACAAAAAATCAAACATTTACCCACGATGTTTTCAAATATCATTAGAATACCCCTGATAATTGAGTTTATTTTGCTATTTCATAAAGAAATATTTTGTAAAGAAATCACACATTATTTGTGTTGATCGTTCTTAGCGCGGAGATGTCCTTCTCTGAGGAGCCCACTATACGGCCTTGTTAACCCACCTATGTGTAAGTCGTCTCCAGTCAGCGGTACAGCCTGCTACTTCCAATGCAGGAATGGCTTCCTCAAAAATGGTGGAGAAACTATGATGTATTGTGGGAACGATGGAAACTGGAGCAGAAACATATCTTCGATTTTAAAATGTCTTGGTAGGCTACTTAGATTTTTGTTTGAGGAACAACTTTAGCGCCTTTGCCATATGAGTATTACTTTACCCTGAGTTTGCCAGCAAAATTTATCACATTTGCCTCGGTGTGTGGAGAGGACTTAATAGAAAGACGTTTTTTACCGTCTAATAGTTCAGTAATAGATCACAGATAACGTTACTATGGGATCCGATCACGAAAGCGAAATAAGGGGCGCAGCCGACATCTGTGACCATTACTGTGCGGAGCTACGGTAGCAGGGAAGCTATTTATTTTATACGATTAAGAACCAGTTTGTCACTAATAAAACCATTAATGTCTATATCCTCAAATAGATCATATGTAGCAAACAATCAAAAATTGAATGGAATCCACTTTGTCCTATAATTAGGAAAAGATCGCATTGAGAAATCGTTTACTTGTTGCCCAACGTTTGTCGTTTGTTGCATATTTTCGCAGATGTGACACCACCTTCAATATGGTGTATCCCGCCTCTTACTCTTAGCCGACATGTAAACTTGACAGCATTGGCAGATTGGATAGTTCCTGTTGCATTGGACGATAGCGGCGTGGCACCCCAAGTGACAGTCTTTCCTGAGGGGATCAAGCCACCTCGCGTGATCAATGACTCACTTCTGGTTGAGTATACGGCCAAGGATCCAAGTGGCAATGCAGCCAAATGCTCTTCAAGAATAGTCCTAGAAGGTAAACTCAATCTGGAAGACACAATGCTTTTACAAGTCGTCTCCCGATTAGTACTTAAACTAGAATGATAAGTTTTATTTGTGTTTATTTTTATTTTGTGGTTCTCTTGGCCCTTAGAAGGTTCTTGCAACCGTTAACGGGAAAATTATTATAAGGAATATTTTCGTTTGCCTAAAATTAATTACAGGTACATTACCTTTTACTTCTACGTACTAACCTATTCAATGTGTTCGGAACGGAAACCGTTCGCTGAATCATGAAAGTTGTATAAAAAACAAAAACACATTAAGTGGCTTATCTGTGGCTAATTGATTCCCTAGCTATGGAATCATATTGTGCAAATCGTTTTTGTTCCCATTGTAGGACTCTTTTTATTCTTCACAAGAGCCGTAAGGGGTTAATGTGTGGCTCTATGGTTAATTTTCTAGATCCTTCAGGTCCTGAAGTCGTTTACTGTCCTCCAAGTAGAAATATCACCGCACAAAACCGACACGTGGTCGTTACATGGCCAGAGCCTCACGTTAAAGACAACAGCAATGACAAGCTGCGAATAACTTGCAACTATAAAAATGGCACTGCCTTCTATTGGGGAAAATATACACTACGCTGTAAGGCGTCTAGTAGCAACCCAAACAACAAGCCGGCAATCTGTAAAACTGACTTCATAATAAGACGTAAGTACCAAATATGATTCCCTGCAACTGCTGTTGGTATAGAAGCTACTTCTCCAAGCTATTAATACTACATATACAAACGCACATGTGCCTCAATTTGGAATTCTCTCGTCCATCTTCTTTGTGACTGCAGGTTAAAAACATTGTAAATCATTATAACGTATTTTAATGACGACTTTGTACGATGAATTAGTTAACAAAGTTAGTACTTTAGATGACTCCCACGAAAATAAAATATTGGAGGAATGGGAAACACTCAAACCTCGCAATTATTAGATTTGATCGTAAAAGAAGAAAAAACTCAAAGAAACTGAAAATAAATGCAGTTTAAACAGCTAATGTTACTATTCATGATCAGTGACTTGTCTGAATAAATATCAAAAGAAAATATCTAAGATATATACAACACTCTTTTAGAAAATAACTTTTAAGACTTAAAAAAAAAATTCCAAGAATTTATGTAGCTGCCAAACAAAGCGGGGCCACGTTTGCCATTATTTTTTTTTTCTGTTTACATCATTTTTTACCACTGTCCAAATAATACCTTCATCACATCTGTCAAGTCTAACTTATATTTCAGTTGACTAGCTTCTCTTCTTTCGCCTTGATTGCTACTCAAATGTGACGCAAAAATTAGGGAAATGAGAATAAACTAACTGTATATTCCTTTTTCAGCGGAAAGATGCAAAGAACTAATACCTCCCAAAAACGGAGGCAAGGCTTGTGATGATTGGATGTTCGGAAGGATATGTGTACCATTTTGTAACATTCGATATGATTTTAGCGACCCAGTGTGGAAAGAAGTTAGCCCTTGGACCTGTGGATCTTCGGGTACATGGTTTCCTGTAAAACGCTGGCCAGACTGCACAAGTAAGGAGCATATGAAAACAATATAAACAAAACAAAACCAAAAAAAACAAACAAAATAAATCTTCGAGCAGCTTACAGTAAATGCAAACTTAATATGCTCTCAAAGCATGGTAGGGAGAGATGAACATGTCATCGAGGGCTTTGGAATACTTTGGGGGTGCCAGTATGACATATTTTGGTTAGTATTAGGTCGCATGACACTCCATGGGGGGAACGTTCTCTCCTAGTATAAAAAGCGAAGTAATTCGTCAGAAATTGTTAGTAATTTATTGAAAAGACTGGATAGTGTAACACTGGGACAGTTTTATCATTGCGTTCGCAATCCCCACACGAAAGACAAGGAGGCATAAATATATGTTTATCTCTTCTGGTACAGATTTCGCAAAGGTGTAGCATTTTACATGCATTGCGTAGAGAAAATTGCAAAATGTAACCTGTAGCTTAATATTGGCTTCTTTTGACTCATTTCGGACCGGACTCTATCAAGTCCAAAATACATTTGTGTTACAATTTTCCTAAAACAAGTATTTTTACAAATAGCGAGCCAATGGTTGTGTAATGCTCTGTTTTTTAAAACCTTTCCAGGGCAATCGCCTCCCAATAGAGTGAGAATGGCAGTAGATTTGCGTTACAGTACTGGAGATTGTGACGGAATCGGAAGGAGTAAAATAAAAGAACTCTTTATAGAGACTCTCAACGCGTCTTCTCTCATTCATGCCTGTCAAGATCAATTTGTCAGAGATAAGTGTAAAGCTGATAATGTTGCGGTCACGTGCGAGTCTGTTGCCAAAAGCAAAAAACGTTCCGCAGGTAAGTCATATAGAGCTCTTTTAAAGGAAGGCTGGTTCGAATTCTGTCTTTTTGTATGAATTTTAGCCTCATTATCATGCATTGTCACCCGACACGTGGCTATATACGTCAACTATTCAAGAAAGCGGTCTCGGGAAGATCAACGAGGTTTGTATCAATGTGAAATGGGGTGGCCATAAACTACAAGTCTCTTGCCAACGAAGACCTCAAACAACCTTAACTCCCTAATTCCGGGTACTCTCGAGCGTTGTGATCATGACTGGGATCACAAAAAGATAAGTTCTGGATATGCAAATATTATTCAAACAACGCCGATTTCTCAATTACCGGTTTGAGTCACAACCCTACGAAAAATGCTGCAACAGTAAAGGATTACGAATGACGGGTAAAATTTAAGTTAAACTGAGTAGTGTCTTTTAAAATGCAGTTTTGATTTGTCTGGCCAAAATGCTACGCAAAATCTACCCGTGTATTCAGTGGCGGATCCAGGGGGAAGGTCGGGGGTCCGGACCCCCCTATCAGACCTGACGCTTACAACTTTGAGACTGAAATTCTTACATCGACAGGATCGTATATCACTTTTTAACTGGCTGATTTTTTTAATTAATGAATCCAAGTAAACGGTAAGCGGCCAACGAATTATAACGTGCAACCGCGGCTGGTGGGAGGGGGTGTGGGGGGTGTTGGGGAGAAGTAATTTACCTCAAAAGAGTGCAACAGTCCTTTCTGAACCAAAGTTTGGACCCCTTCAATCAAAAATTCCTGGATCCGCCCCTGGTGTATTTGACTCACGGTTATATGGTCTCGTATGAGTATAGCCACAAAATAGAAAACAGCCGGTTAGATGTAAACTTTCGGGATCACCGGTAAATGTTTCTTAAATATTTCTTTTGCTCTCCTATGACCTTTTTAATTACGAAAGTTCATTCATAAAAAAATTAGTTTCCTACGTTTAACACAACAAAACTCTTTGCGAAAGTGCACAACACTCCTAAATTAACTCAATCAGCAGAAACTCAAACCCAGTTTAATGGATCTCTTAGATGTTTTTCCTCGTACCCTCGAACATTGTTTGGATTTGAAATTATTTTATTTCCTGTCAACATTTAGATCCAATTCTGTTAACAGCCTAGCTCTACGTTTTCATGAAATTACGGTCGTCGAGTGATACAAATTTCGTGCAAATGTTTTGCCGGTTAGGCTATCGGAAATCGCATTGGCTTCAGTTATATCGAGAAGTGGATAATTTAATGAAAAAAAAAGTTTTTTTTTTCTTTTGGTTATGGAAATAAAAACCAAGCATGATTAACGACAAGGAGATGTTGTAATAAAACGCGAAACTCGGGAACTGGTGGATATTTGTATTTTTTCGTGTTAACGACTTTTAATTTGTCCGCCATTTTTGACGAGTTTCCGTGACCTGCACAAATTTCCGCGGGAAGCCGACGATAATAATGAGCCTTTCCGCGTTCTTACCAGCAGGCTTCTGGTTAAGTTTCTTCCCCTGTTATGTCTGACAAACTCAGAGGGTATTCTAAAGAGACTGAAAGATTGCTTAAAATTTTTGCCAAGATTCATTGGAATCTCTAAGTGCACAATAAAAGATCCTTAAGGAATGAAAGGCGCTGCCTCGGGGAGATAAGATCAAAATCCTAAAAATAGGTTTGTGTCTTTATTCCGAGAAATAGGGGTTGGAATTACAAGTCTTCTTAGATTGAAACAAACCTTAGGTACTTACAATAAAAAAACATGAGGCAGTCTGTTGTCCTTTTTTAATCTTCCCTTGGTGGAGTGTCTGCAGGAGACAGAAACATGTATCTTTTCCAAATAATTATCTAACCAAGAGTTATTTTTTCATTAAAATAAATACTCTGTCAGAATTAGTTTAAAAGAATTTTAACATATGAAATTAATAGGTGATAACAGCCACTTCAGAAGACGGCAATCTATTCCACAAACAGCAGTCAATGCCGAGATAATTGGTAAGTTCATACACGTTCTTTATCAGCAGTTTTCCATTGAGGCATATGCAATTTAATTTAGATTAGGTTAAGTGTTTCACTGTGATGTGATGGGAAGTTCCTGGTATATCACTCGTACTAAGACCATTTTTTCAATGTCATGTGAAGCGCATATGTAATGTGTAATATGTGTATGTAATATGGCTTATCACTTTTAGGGAAATTGAATTTTACAATTTCGTCAATGCACAACTCTGGAGGTTTTGGATGGAGGATACCAGATGAGGACTGTCGATTTTTTCAATATCTTCTCCACAAAGATAGAATTTTCAATAAGTAACGACCTCGCTAGAGTAGTTTCATGGTAGTTTCATCTGTGCTAAAATCAGGATTGAGGGAGGAGACAGTGATTTATTTAGCTTTGCTTCTCTAGCTAAAGTTATTTAGGGTTCTTTTGGTCTACGAATACAAAGTAATCTGATTCCTTTATCTCACACAGTTGGGCTTGATGGGATTGAAGGAAACGACACCAACGAAGGGCAAATCATGATCGGAGAAGAAGGAATGAAAATTGCCCACTTCATTAGAATTCTGATTAAAGAAGCAGCTCAAAACGGCAGCCTTCGATTCTCAGTCAATAGCTCAGAGTTTGTCCCTGATAAAGAATCGCTCATCATCTCAGTCCCTCAGCTCTTTTGTGGCCCGGGGCAGATTTACAAGAATGCATACTGTCGTAAGTCTCGTAAAATTGTAATATGGTACTGTTAAATGTTTTAGTTAGGGACTTGGACACAATCACTAAGTCCTGAGAAGGTTCACTAAAAGTTAAGATTGATGTCAGCATCTAAGTGACTGCGCGCTACCGTTCCCTCGATCTAACAATAACCCAAATTAACTTGTTATCAGTTGACTGTTGATAAGTCAGGAGAAGGGAAGGTGCGTAGTTGCCGTGATACTGACAATGACCTGAGAGCCATGATGATAGCTTATGGTGAAGTTTTAACTTTCCTTGATTTGCTTTTACTTTGCTCCAACGCTGATGTGCTTCCCCTTAATAGGTTACGATTTGTAATGAAGCCAAATATAAGAAGCAATTGGATTCACTGAATTAATCAGCAGCCTCCTTATTTGGAAATTCCTTTGCTAACATAAGAAAATATAATTTCTAATGATGTTCATCTTTACGATCTACAGTAAACTGTAGCTCTGGGATGTTTTTGAACAAAACCACTGAAAAATGTCAAGACTGTCCTCGTGGTACATACCAAGACTCTGAAGGCCAAGAACAGTGTTTGCCGTGTCCACCAGGAACCTCCACTATAGAAACAAGGACCGCACACCGCATCAGCTGTTTTGGTAATCATTGATTCTTCTTTTAGGAGAGCCGTTTTAAGATTCTGGGAGTCGCTTCTTTTCGTAAAGGATAAGCAAACACTGCAATGCAAATTTAGCGTTTAATTTGCCTAGATCAACTAGGAGCAAAGAAGGAGCGACTTACCTGAGAACAATTGTCCAATACTTTTGAAAAGGTTGCAGCCTACATGACGTGGTGTTTTGCCGCAGCCAAGAGACTCATCAGATACTTGTTAGCATCTCTCTTAACTCTTGCAGATGTCAATAGTGTCGCCTTCCATCGTAGAAGGCTACGTAACAGCCTGTTCACTAGTTACATATGTGCAGTAAAAGAAAGCTCTAAAAGCTATCTGATTAGTCTCCAGCGCATAAGCAAGCACCGAAATTTACCAGACAAAACCTATTTCACAAATTTATTACACCCATTTTAAAATCCCTGGTAATCCTTTCGATCCGATTGGCCCTCATCGGTACAATTTATTCAGGAATCACGCCAGCCAATGAGAAAGCTCAACTAATAAGCGACAACCAATGAGATTTCGAGGCTTACTTAACTTCTAGGATGATGAAGGACAATTTTTTACAAACCAGCTCAGTACTGGATTAATGAAATATCTGTACAGACTAGAAAATCCTGTATTTAAGCGACTGAATTTTTCGATCTCGAGATAGATGTAATGAGGTGGTGGTTGAAATTTGTGTCAGGCAATTTTGGTCTGAAATCATATTGCGATTTCAAATCAAACTAGTTCAATTTTGAAATTAGGGGTTTGATTTCACACCAAATTGCATTCTACTCAGTTCAATGACCATTATAAAACAGCAATGACACGGATATGAGATAACAGAAAAAGCGATGTAAGAATTTGACGAAAGGGATGTAAGAAGGAGTAATAAGAAAATTCTTAGGAAAGAGTGTTTTATTCAAGTGCCTGTAACTGCGGTATTACACTGCTGAAACCAAGCAGAGACCAAGGAAATCAGATGTGCACTGTTCAGTGCCCTTCAAAGTATCAAAGTATGTTGATCTTCCTAAGTTTATGATGAGTTTCAAAGCTCTATTTCAAATAAGTTACGAGAGTGCCTTGAATAATGGCTCCATTAAGTTGTCAGTCTTTTATTTGAGAATGACTGAATTTTGACCCAACACACAACTTTTAAAACTTTCTTTCTTGCGTCGTTTGTGTTTTTGGTGAGTGATCTGATTCAACCTTAACATAGCAGGTTCCCAATGCACTCAAGCAGTTTTATATAAATGTATGAGTGTGTTTGAGATAACTTTTTAAGCTCACTACGAGCTTTAATGATATACTGATGATTATGATGTAAGCCGGGAATTTCGGAGATTTGATTGGTTCACAGTATCACTGAATATTTCAGATATTAGAACAAGGTTACCATGACAATACCCAACACACTTAAGGTTTTGCTTTTTTTTTTCAAAATAATGGCTGCAAGACTCCGTGAAATCTCTGTTGAGGACATACATAAGCTCGCCGTAAAATCATGAAACAAAAATACAGTCAAAACCACTAAGACATAGATAAATGTTTGAAAGTCGTGAACATAAAGAAATGGCCTTAATGCTGACATTGCCGAATAGGAAGCCTAAGAACTGGACAAATGTTTTTCGCGACTCTTTGCCGAAATTCGCAACAGCGATAGCTCCATCAGCGCTACCATGTAGCGACATCATCCTACCAAAACAGTTTCCAACTGCTTTCATGGTTGTCAGGTGAAAATAAATTACAGAGCTGGCTTTGGTGTTTTCAATAGAGCAGCAATTAAACACTGGGAGAAGCTTGCCCATTCCTTATCTTAATTTGTGCTTTCGCTTCACCACTGTAGTGACTTCAAGAACCGTGGACTGAAAATTTATTTCATTGAACTATTTAATGTTGTTTTCCTTCAATTGTTGGTAGTGGTTTCATAAAAAAAAATGTAGATATTTTTTTCCATTTACGCACAAAGATTATTGCCAATGCAGATGCCTGCTTGTTTATTTCAACTGAAACGAAATAAAGGTCTCTTATGCGTTACCGAAAGTTTCTCGGCTTCTATCACAAACAAATAATAGCATAACCTGTGCGTAGTATTTTGCATTAATACCGACTCGTCATAATTCAAAATTGTCTAAAATATAATTTACCACATGGCGGCTGGTGGTATTTTGGGCAACTTTGAAATATCACTGCCGCACTATGGCCAAATATCACTACAAGTCATGCCACTAGCTATACTAACAGCATTTATTATATCATTATATCAACACAAAAAATATCGTTATTATCACAATCATTAATTGTTCAAATTTTCCTTTAAGGTTTTTGCAAAGCTGGTTCTTACTCACCCACCGGTCTTGAACCATGTCTCCCTTGCGATAAGGGCTTCTATCAAGAAATGGATGGACAGAAAAATTGTTTGCGGTGCGCAGTAAACCAAACAACAACATCTGAAGGTTCCAATAGCTCTCTGCTATGTGGAGGTATTTTTTAGATGTAATTTAAAATGTATGCTAATTCTTTTACAATGCTCAATGAAATAATTTTATGATGTTTACTGTGTGGAATTACTCACAAGAACTGATTTTCTGGTTTGATTCTGAAGCAGACATCCAAATTTGGTTGCCTTTTTCAAGCTTTTCAAGGCAGACACTGATCCTTCTCTCCCTCCCATCCTTTTCCTGAACTCACGGTCATAAAAAGTTGGAAATGGTGTAATACTTCGTGTTTGTATACTTCATGTTTCGAAAGACAGGTGTCTTACAACCGCCCCCCTTAATTTGGCTTTCATAAATTTTATGGTTTTAGAATTATTCAGAAATCCCTTCCACTTTCGAGGATGTGGATGGAGAGTTGCCACCTTTATTTTAAAGACTTTTGTAAAGCTAATGGTCATCAAAATCTCACCTTATTATTTATTTGTATTTCCTTTCCTCGTATAGAACCTTGCCCCCCTGGATCGTTTTCTTCTACTGGATTGGCACCATGCTCTTTATGCGACCGACGCTCTTTCCAGCCACGTTATGAAAGTCAGATATGTTTCCCATGTCCAGGAACCACTATAACTTTACATCCTGGATCAAGGTGGGCACAAGATTGCGTAGGTAAGATACCATCGAAGAAACTAATCTGTTAGATTGTCAAATTGTCTCACCAAAAAATACTGGAGATTACTCACGCGTTATTCTTTTAATATTTTTTATAAAAATGTAGGAGTTCTGAAAACTCTCGGCTAGGGTTAGGAAGCAGAAGCTAATTTTGGTGATACACACTAACGATAATATAGTTGAGATAGTTTAATTTACCTGTCTGGCAATTTTATCCGACGAGTGCTACACAAGCTGTGTAGTACAAAACTAAATAGTAATAAATGCCAAGTCAAGTCTTCAGTTGACCACTCCGTTCTCTATCATAAACACGCTCTAGTTTACTATTGAGCACTCTGAAAGCAGTTCTGCAGATCAACTCGTTATATATATATATATATTGATAATTGTCTATCCTTGCGATAGAGGGCTCGATGCGTTCGCAGAGCGTGGTAAGTTTGAAGACTGGACTAATCAGTAAAACATAGCGTTTTCTGTCACTCTGAGTCTCATGCTTACGCCGTCATGGGACACATGATCGCGTAAGCGTGAAACTCAGAGTCACAGAAAACGTCATGTCTTATTGATTAGTCCAATCTTCAAATATATATATAATTAACTGCAGATATATATCCTATTCTACTTAAACATTTTTATATTGTCCTTAGTTGTAAAGATTTAATTGTTCATTTAAATTATGTTTTCCTTGTTTCTATAGAAATCAACGAATGTGAATCAGACCCATGCAGGAACAATTCAACATGTACAGACCTCATTGGAGATTACCTGTGTTCTTGTATCTCCGGTTACACTGGAAAGCAGTGTCAGACCAACATGGATGAGTGTCGAGACCAACCTTGTTTCAATAATGGCACATGCCATGATCTTATTAACAACTACACTTGCACTTGCGCACGAGGTTTCCGTGGTTTGAACTGCGAATATGATATCAACGAATGTGATTCGTCACCATGCGCCAACAATGCTTCTTGCCAGAATCTCCCAGGAGGATACAAATGCCACTGTGAACCTGGTTACACTGGGACTCTCTGCGACACTGACATCGACGATTGTCTTATATCCGCTTGTCAGAATGGAGGTACTTGTCGAGACGGCATCGATAACTACGAGTGTGTCTGTGCTTGGGGATTTCAAGGGGATAACTGTGAAGAGAATATTGACGATTGTGCCGGTAATCCATGTCACAATGGAGGCCAATGCCTCGATGGTGTTGGCAGCCATCAATGCACTTGTCTAAAGGGCTTTACTGGCAGTAGTTGTGACATTGACATTGACGAATGTATAATGGCAGACTGCAGAAACAACGCCACTTGTATCGATAAACTAAACGGATTCCTTTGCAAATGCGAGAAGGGATTCTCTGGAAAGAAATGCGAAATTGACATTGACGAGTGTTTCTCCAATCCTTGTAAGAACCAAGCAAAATGCGTGGATATGGTTAACGGGTACATATGTGATTGTCAGGATGGTTTCGATGGTTTGCACTGTGAGAACAACATCGACGACTGCGCAACATTTCCTTGCTCGAACAATGGTTCCTGTCGCGATGGTGTTAACAGTTTCATCTGTGCATGTCCGCCGGGTTTTACGGGGGAGCTGTGCAACGTGGACATTGACTATTGCACCTCTAAGCCTTGCTTCAATAACGGTTCATGTCTGGATGACACCACGTCTTTCACATGCCAGTGTGCCGATGGCTTTGAAGGGGAGCACTGCGAAGTCAATGTGGACGATTGCAAAAATGCTATCTGCATGAACTACAGCACTTGTATTGACGGCATCAATGAGTATAAATGCGTATGTGCTGAGGGTTTCGTTGGCATCAATTGCAAAATAAATGTTGACGACTGTGTGGTAAACCCATGCGTCAACCACGGAACATGCATAGATGCAATAAATGACTACCAATGCAACTGCAAGTTAGGTTATGCAGGCAAAAACTGCAGTGTGGACATCGACGAATGTGCTAGTTCTCCTTGTCACAATAATGCCACGTGCGTTGACGAATTGCACAATTATACCTGCATCTGCAGTGATGGATACAGTGGAACCCATTGTGAGGTTAACATTGACGAGTGTGCAGAGGACTATTGTAACAATGGATCCATTTGTCGCGATGGAGTAAACGGCTACAGTTGTAAATGTGCCCCAGGCTTTTCTGGTGACGATTGTAGCACGAAGATCGACGAATGTGCATCTTTTCCGTGTGACTATGGTGGGACCTGCTATGATCAGGTACTTCGTGGTATAGTATTAAAAAATAGCCATGTTGTACCCCATAGGTATGTGTTCAAAATATGTTAAAGACACAACATCGAATACCGTTGATCACGTGGTGACGTTCTTCAGCATTTGTAGTTCGCTAATTCCAAAAGCTAAATCAAATTGAAAACAAGCAGACACACATAAACAAGACAAAGCATATCGTAAGTATACAGTTATTAATACCATTAAGATTTTCCCACGCAAAAACGTGATTAGACTTTATCGTGACCAAAAGGAACGATGTCCATAATGTTCGCTTAATAAAAGATATTATATCTACAAGGCTAAAAGATTAAGAAAAATTATTTAAATGTTAAAACCAAACGTTTTTGGCTGTTTGCCATCATCAGGGTTTAAAGTGTTGACCGTCTGTACATAGATATATATCTTATGTGATTCCCAATGGGAAACGTTTGGAGACATAAGAAATAACTTGTTTGTTGAAACTGGGGCTGAATATATTGTTGGATCATTAGCCCCGACGATCCTACGCTTGTGGAATGTTTCTGCTGAGGAGAGAACACGCCAAGTGAAAGAATGTGATGAATTTTCCCGCAAGTGTTTTGCAGGTTCAGAGGTGTGAGTAGGATTTGAATGCTCACTAATACGTACTGCTAAATCTCTCACAGTTTCGCCATTGTAATCAACGCCACGCGAACAAACTCCTTTGTCTACAACTTTGGATCTGTGAGTGTCAGTCGTCTTTGTTGTTAAAAAGGCTTTTAATTTGCCTTGTTTGCCACAGGATTACAAAGATGAAATTAGAATTGGTAAACTCGTTGAGTCTTTTAACACACGTCTTACCGCGTTTTTCGTTTTTACCGCTAAAAGGAAGCTTGATAAAGACTTTCTTTCGGTCTTCGAAGGGAAAATTCGAAATGATGTTGTCATCTTGTCATGAGTCGTTTAGAAAGTTGTTGATTGTATGCAAAATAAAACGTTTGGGATAACCTGCATTAAACGTTTTATTTCGCATACAATCAACAACTTTCTAAACGACTGATCACAAGATGACAACATCTTGCCGAATTTTCCCTTCGAAGAGCGAAAGAAAGTCTTTATCAAGCTACCTTTTCGCAGTGAAAACGAAAAACGCGGTGAGACGTTTGTTAAAAAACTCAATGAGTTCACTAATTCTAATTTTATCTTTGTAATCATATGGCAAACAAGGCAAATTAAAAGCAAATTAAATTTTAACAACAAAGACAAGAACACTCACAGATCCAAAGCTACTTACAAAGAAGATTGTTCTTCTGGCGTGGATTACATTGGCGAAACTGTGAGAAATTTAGCAGTACGTATCGCGGAGCATTCAAATCCTACTCACACCTCTGAACCTGCAAAACACTTGCGGGAAAATCCATCACATTCTTTCACTTGGCGTGTTCTCTCCTCAGCAGAAACATTCCACAAGCGTAGGATCGTCGAGGGGCTAATGATCCAAAAAAATATTTCGCCCCAGTTTGAACAAACAAGTTATATTTTATGTCTCCAAACTTTTCCTATTGGGAATCACATAAGATATATATATGTAGGTACAGATGGTCAACACTTTCAACCCTGATGATGGCAAACAGCCGAAAACGTTTGGTTTTAACATTTTAATAATTTTTCTTAATCTTTTAGCCTTGCATATATAGTAAAAGGAAGGATAATTTCATTTGAATCAATTCTCTTTTCTAATCAGTAGGGAATATTTTATTTAGACTCTGGTAATTCAAATTGATACCGAAAATGATCCATTATTCACCTTTCAGGAAGATGGCTTCTTCTGTGCCTGCAAGCGTGGATTTACAGGCCAGTTGTGTAATGTTAACATAGATGACTGTGTCTCCAGTCCATGTCAAAACAATGGCACCTGCTTAGATCTTGTGGCAAACTACTCTTGCCAGTGTCCAGTAGGATTTAATGGGTCCCACTGTGAAACCCCCGTCGACTTTTGCTCGGAATCTGGTAATTGCACGGTAAATGGACGTTGTATCAACTCTCGCTCAGATTTCTACTGCAACTGCAGCAGTGGGTATTTTGGGAAATACTGCGAGTATGAAATCCACGAGTGCTTGGCAAAACCCTGTTTTAACAACGCTTCCTGCCATGATACCGTTGACGGCTTTACTTGCTCGTGTTTAGATGGCTTCACAGGGAGGCTCTGTGAACTGAACGTTGATGATTGTGTCAACAATTCCTGTTTGAACAACGCCACCTGTGTCGACCGAACCCTTGGGTATTCCTGTCTCTGTTCTGAAGGCTACAATGGAACCTTTTGCCAAACAGAAATGAATGAGTGCGAATCAACTCCGTGTTTAAACAATGGCTCTTGCATCGACCTGACTCCGGGCTATAAGTGTAACTGCGCTGATAAATTCATTGGAGAAAACTGTGAAAACTTCACAGATCTCTGTTTTCCTGCACCCTGTCATAATGGAGGTACGTGCAGAACTGAAAGCGCTGGGGAATACTTCTCCTACCACCATTGCTACCATTACCTTTACAACTCTTTCTTCGACTACCACTGCTACTGCTCTTCCACTGACAATACAATTACCTCGACCCCGTCCACTCAACTTTTAATGCCTCTCCAACTGATACTGCTATTACTCCTTTTGCTACCATTACCTCTTTCACTATCAATGCCACAACCACTCTCACTACTACTTACCCTTTCATCATTACTAATATTACTTCTACTTCCATCATCATTACCACCACCATTTCGAGTAATAATAACATCACCACCACCATCACTAACACTACTATCACTTCTTCCACAGTCAAACTTTTAAAAATTGTTGGCAGCCAAAAGGTGTTCTACTGTGTGGTGTTCTAATGGTGAAAGACTTTTTTCTGTATAGTTTTAATTTTGGGTAATTTTAGGTAAGACGTTCTTTATTGGCACTTGTAAAGAAAACCTGGGTCCAATATGTCATCATTACTGATGCAGTGATGAGCAGTTCCAAGTTTGACGAAAACAGGATCATAAGTTTTAATCACAATCATTGTAATGACTATAGTGATGATGATGATGATGGTGCTAATTTGACAATGATGAAACTAACAATGATAAAGACAATGGCAAAAATAATAATTATCACAGTTTTTTACATTTTTTTAGTTTTCTTTTCCTTTTTGTTTGTTTTTGTTTCAAGGAGTCCTGAATCATTCTCCGCATACTGTGCTAGTGTCCAACTTGGCTCTTTTGGCCGTAGCATTTCTTTGGGCGATTTTCATTTTCATGTACTTTCGGAAACGTCGAGCTCTAAAATCCCCTAATCGGTAAGTCCACCAATAGTAGATTACTGATTTTAAAATAACATTGAGACAAACAAAAAAGCATGCAAAACGAAACAAGAATTAATAACCAAACATAAAGGAATAAGCTAATCCCTTCCCTTGCTAAGAAGAAACAAGATTTTGTGTGTAATGATACTATTGATAATCGTCCTAATTGACTAATAAGAGGAAAAACTGCATTTCTCATGTTTCTTAAGATATTGTGTTGTTTTCAATCACCGATTATGTTATGTTTTTTTTGTCCCCTGAATCTTGCACGGGATTAAATCTGGCAAAAGAGCCAGAGAATTTTCATCATTTCTCTCGAACCTTCTAGTCAACAATTTCGAAAAGATGATATTGCCTTCAATGAGAAGAAAGAAGTTGAAGTAAATGTCGATGTACACTAACTGCCTTTGATTAATAAGCATGTTGTCGATGAAATGTTAAATAGGTTTATTATAACATAGATTAATATTGAAAAACTTTTGTTCTTTACATGTATTTGACGTTTTAACTCCCATGAGTGACCAACACAGAATTTCTCCTTACAGCACCAAATACCACATTAAGCAGACAAGTGATCAGAAGAAAGAAAAATATCATTTAGGGGATTATTAGTTGATCTTATACCAAATTATCACAACTAACATCATAAGAATTGTATGGCAGACAGTAAGGAGAATTACTGATGAGATCTTGAGATTGAAAAAGTTATGCGTTTTCAATATTTTTAATCATCGTTTTAACAACAAAGAAGGTTGGATAAATACTCTGGGCGTTCCTCTGTAATCAAAACCTTTGATGTAACCCTATACAATGAAATTTCTGCACAGGCCCGATACGCTACTCCAGTCAATATCTCTCGACACCATAGAAGTTAATCAGAGCGGGACACTTAGAGGTAACCCCTCTAGAAACCCTGTTGAGGTATGGACTTATCCTTAAAATTTGTTCAGCTTTATTCTGCTAGTAACTCCTAGACGATGTGTTTTTGTTGTTGTTGTTGTTGTTGTTGCTGTTGTTTTTGTTTACCACCTCGTACAGTTTTTTTTTTTTTAAAGGTATTAAAGGTTTGACTCAAAACCACCGTTAAACTATGATTTGTTCTCTAAAGGTAACGAACGTGACAAATCTTTGGGACTATCAAGTGGGTCTCAATGACCGCAAAGAAGGTTACTGTTTACCCAACAGCTTTCCTACAGTGCCTGTATCAAAATACATCACACAAGTGGAAAGATGTTTCAGCAGTTCCGGCGGAGAACTGAGTGCCGCTTGTGACTCTGACGTGAAGATAAATATCGGAAACGGCGTGATTGGAGACAGCCAGTCGGTTTTCTACCGTGTAATAGACGATGAAACGGAGTTGCTGAGGGATATCCCAGTAGGACCTCAAGAAACGCTCATCTCCCCTGTGAGTGAAACTGGACCACATGATGTTAAGATCTCAAAGCCTTTGGAGATTATAATTCCACATTGCCTCTACATGGACAAAGAAGTCGAGAAAAACAAGGAGAAGTGGATAAGTGTCTACAGAACTGACCCAGGTAATTAAAAATTATCTTGGTTATGTATTTTCTGCTGAATTCAAAAGAAAATTCATTAAAATTTTTAATTTCTAACTTTTAGGTTTAAGCGCTTGAAGACTGGAACTTTTTAAGCCTTACAACTTGAGAGTTTTTTCCGGGAAGATGAGATCTTCCCGTTGCTCTGGCCCAGTTTCTATTCACGACTCTGGCGTTTGTTGCTTTTCTTCCACGCTCCCAGAGGTTTTATCTGTGTATCTGGTTTTCCTTCCGTAAACCAAGACCCCAATTTCAATTCGACTTAACCTAACCCTAATCCTGATAGGAACCTCGTGGAAGTTCTTTGCCGAGTAATCCGACTCATTCATTATACCTATATACTTTTTGAAGGTAGATAGGACTGATGTTCGGTATGCTGTTATTGTACTGATGATTTTGTTATCAATTTCTGACTATAGGTCCCATCAAGTGGGAGACAATCCCTCCTGAATCAGAAAAAAATGATTCGTCAAAGGCATGGTTGACAGCCACACATGACTCCATTCATATCAAAACGAAGACATTCTGTTTCTGGAGCATATTTTCGCGCAGAGGAACGAGAAAAAAAAGAGCTAGAGTGTTTGCTAACAAGCCGGATCTCAGATCCGATCTCATTTATTTGAGATTCTATATTTACGATGATAACGAGGATTCTAGGAAAGTAAGTGGTTATTTAATGAAAACAGTTCTTAAGAAATTTCTAAAATACAACATAGGCGAGACAACTAAAAAACCCTTGACAAGTAAAAATAACACCATCGTCTTTTCAGACTGAGGTAGTTATGGCTATAAACAATATACAAAAGTAAAAAGGATATGAAACAAGGAAAAGGGGTGATAGTGATAAAATCAAAATGGAAGAAGGACGAGGCAAAATGAAACGAGGAAATCATTAGTGATTAGAAATTGCAACTCTATTGTAATCTTGACATCTTTTCTAAGCCTTTTAATCTTTCTAACACTTTAATCTTTTTATACTTATGCACCACCCCATGATACCGAGAAAGAGGTCGGGAATTAGCTCTTGCGTTCGAAGGTTAGGGTTTATTGTAGACTTCAGGCTCCGCTTTTTCAAAGGGCGGATAACATTTTCCTACGTATAAATCACTAGTCACCGGATGAGGGTTAGCAGAACACTCTGCGCTATCCATTGGATAAGGGTTAACAGATAAGTGGATGGCGCTACCCACACTTCGAGCAACCGGAGACAGGTCTCGAGTGTTACTACCCCTTTTAGTCCGCACAACTCTCTGTATATTCTTGTGGTTAACGTACGAACCTCAAAGTCATCGCGTTTCTCACAAGCATTTGTAAGTACAGAAAGTATGCTGCCGTAGTGTAGATAAAAACATTCCTACTTGAGTGAATGTCGTTTGCATTGCGTTTGCACAACAAAAAGAAAAACCAATGTTTGTTAGAAATTCAGGGAATCACACTCTTACATGTTCAATCACTTTTGATAATACTCGATGCACCACTTTGCTGATTCACATATCTTGCCTCAACAAGAGGGTGGAGATCCAAGAGTAGCATTTTTAAATAGCGGCGAGGGCTACAATAGAGAAACCTTTCAAAATGTACAACTACAGCAAAAAGATAATTGTGAGACTTGCTAAACTTATGGATGGCTGGGAATTAGACAACGAGGAAGATGGCGAGAAGGTGAGCAAATCATTTTTGTAATACCAGTACAATTCAAAGTTGACTCTATGATAATTCGATGCGAGATTCTCTTTACATTGTTTTTAAAAAATGTAAGCCCTTTTCAAAGAAAATTTCAATAACAAATGAATCAAATCAACTGAACGTTAGATATTATCCTGTAAATGAGAGAGGCAGTAGGGCGCTGGATTTGAAAGCTGGTCGTCCTGGGTTCAAGCCTCCAGCTGCCTCTCACTGGATTTGTTCTCGGTTGCTTTGAGTTCAACTCCTTGGCTGCGCTTTGTATATACTTAACCAACTGGTCTGCCTCCTGCCAGTTAGAATTTTTGAACATTATGTTTATTTACAATGTTTGTTTGCAATTTGGTTGTATCAGCCCTGTAAAGCCCCGTTGGGGAAGCAGTCAATTTATCCGGATATCATTATTATTACTATAGTTACCATTACTGGTTACCATTATTACATTACTATAGTTATCATTGTTATTTTCATATTGTAATTTAATTTTTTTTTTTTTGCGAGCAAGTGTCATCTAAAAATGATTGTGTGACAGTATATTGCCCTATAATGCAACGCGCTGGAAACATTTTGAGCTCATCGATGGAGCTTTCGCGAAGCCGTAACAATCGAGATCGCAGAGGAGTTTTCTTTTAAACCGGTTATAATAATAACCTTCTGAGTTGTAGATCATGCAGTTTTCTGGTTGCCTCTGAAAGTAGGTGTCTTTGCCTTGCGATTTGAGGGACCGCTAGTTTTTTGGGGGAATTTTCATTGAAACGTTTTACGCCCAACTGATACATTTTAACAATCAATGTGTGATTTTTTGTAGGTGTTCACTTACCTTCCTGGTTTTCGCTGTGAAGGAGCCTGTGAGTTCCTAGTGAAACAAGTTGAAGGTAGAGGGGGAAATAACTTCAAATGTCAGTTAAGTTTTCAACAAGAAAGCAGTGATGAAGAGCATACTATGTATGTGATCACTGAGTTTGCACTTGAAGAGGTAATGTTGTTTGTACTTGACACGATCTATTTTTCAAAGTTAGCAACTTAAAGATAGTTTTTCGTTTTTCAAATTAAGAGAAGAAAAAAAGGAAAAAAGGAAAAAATAAAAACACAAAGTTAATTCATTCTGAAAGTGTTTTCATCTTTCGTAGACTCACATACATCACTTACCTTGTTCCCTCTTATTGACCTTACCCTAACCGATTGAAGGTCGATTTACAAGTACTTGCGAGAGAAATTTCTTTATTCATTATCAGCTTCATAGATTTTATTCGCCCTTGCAGTTATAACCAGATGTGCTCCGTCAAGAGCACGTTAAATGGATACTCCTTCATAAGTTTCCCCGGTTCCAAGCCACACCAACAGAATAGTCACTAAGCCTAGTGAAAATATTGTAAAAGTTACCGTCAGGTCAAATATCATAAAGGTGGAAGTCCTCGATTAACCTTGCAAATTACAGCCGAGTTCCTAACCTTTAAATGTTGATTTTTCTTTCAATTCTTTTTTTTAAACGTAATTAATAGATATATCAAACGGTAATTTTCGTGTGAAAATCTTTGTTCCACCTAATCTCTCTAAATATTGAAATTGTCAAACTCAGTATCCATGAACATAATTTTCCGGTGTAAGAACTATTAATTCTACAACTTTTAATTCCGCTGTTGGTCTTAGAGGCCGGAGCCGGTAAATGATCCCCGTGAAAACTCCACAGAGGCTGGTTATCCGCAGGTGACATCAACCACTCGCACGCACTTAAGCAACGTAGCTGGATGCTCGACGTCCTCAGCACCAGACGAAAGTGACACGAGCAACTTAGAAGAACACTCACAACCTCCTCGAGGTATCTTTGTCATCGTTATCGCTATAGTTACTTTCATGAGAAACTGTACCTTAAGTCTACAAATTAACACTTATGAATAAGCTCCGTCCCTCTTCCCCCCCACGTCGCTGCCCCAAGCTTTAATCAGTGTCGTGCCTCGCCCCTTTCCCATCTACAGTTTCCAGATGAAAAGAATGTATTGTTGAGTTAAACCTGTTTAACTTCGGTGAATGAAGCAAGGTATCTTCATCACCGTCATTGCTGTAGTTTCTATCAGTAGAAAATACCGTAGCTTTCCAGCTAGCGGGGGCTGTTATTCTAGGGGGTTGTAAGAAACGGCAAATAAAGGTTTAAACGGTTTATCAAAAATCACACTGCGCCAGGACGACCGAACTACGTGCTGCTCCTGGAATAACACAAGGTCCTCGCACATGCCTGGACAATGACGCATACAAAGCTGATTGACAGAATCACAATAGAGTATTATAAGAAAAGTCACACAACTTGTCACAGGGGAAGGGGGCGTTACTCTGAAGCCCTGTTAAGCCCCCCTTACCATTGTTTACCATTCATTAACTATAGCACAGTGTGAACGAATTAAACATGAGCTATCTCTAAATTCTCGTTTTGTCACAGAATCAAAACTCCTAAGCAGCTTGCGGGATAAAAGGCCATTTCTAGAGAAAGTATGTTGCCGTCTGGACACAAAAATGCCGGGCGTTGGAGACTATCGCGATGTTTGTTGACACTATGGCATTGACAGTTTTATAGTGACCGCAGTTTTTGAAAAAGACGAAGCCGGACCATCGAGAGCCCTATTGGAGCACTTAGCAGCCGCACGCCCACTGCTAACAGTTGCTGAGTTTGTAGGTGTGTTGAGAAAGATTGCGGGAAGAGAGGACGTTGCTAAGCTTCTAACGGAACATGATAATCAGAAACATTTTTAAAGAGGCCAGTGTTACTTTGAAAAAAATCTTTTAAAGAAATGAAAAGTGTGTATATTCCGGGAAAGGAAGAGACTGTATTTACCCTTTCATGATACGCACCCCTAGTTTTGACCCGCCCTAAAGTATCAACCAGCCAATAAAAGTAGTGCATTAGATATATTCCACAAAAAATGGAACAACATAAGTATTAAGTATATATCACACGGGTAAACACTACTTTTCACTTGGACTGATTGCAGTGAATGAGACAAATCTTTGTATTTTGGAATATTGACAGAATTATACTGAACTTGTTTCTGTGTGGTTCTAAAAGCAATTATGCAACTTGGTGTCAGTGAAAGTGGTGAAAGGTTTTAACTAGTCACTAAGTCTTGAAATAGTTGTAAAGAGTAATAACGTATATGCATCAATTTCTTCTTTTTTTGTACTTGCTTTTAATAAGTGCCAAAAGAGGTAAGAGATGACATCCTTCATTGTAGACGGAAGTTATCTAATTATAACTTACACTGATAGAATTTGTATTCAGCAAATTAAATGTTATGTATCATATGTAGTCACTGTTAGTGTGCAAGGCATCTGCTTTGTAAAGGCTTAGCACAATTTTATGTTTATATGGCAGTTTTAGTTGCCATAGGCAGAGTAGACTCGTGTGGCATAGCAATGTTTGTCCGCGTTATTTGTGCATTTCTTTGGGACTTTGATACAATATTTTCCTAGAAATATAAGAATTGTCCATGGATAAAGAAAATTCACAACATTAAATAACAGAGCATTACATGTGATCATGCTAAATTAGATCATTACCTACAACAGTGAGAGAGTTTGAGATAGAGTATTCATCACCAAGGTATATTGGACAAACCACCCTCCCCTTACCCCTTTCCCCAATGCCCCCCCCCCCGCTCAACATCCTGCTCATAATAGCACAGGATCCTGGCAGTATGTGTGTACATATTGATATGCTTGTTATCTGACCTTCATGCCACACATCTGACAGGTCATTTGCCTTTGATAGACTACAGAAAGAGCACCTGCTTTAATCATGGCCGGTAAGTCAGTTTCAAAAATCAGTGTCGATGACATCAACACAAAGAATAGGTTGTGCTTTCTATTAGATCTATATTTCCTCTGTGTTACAGATGTTTTCAATACTTTTGGTCAATGACAGCTAGCATTTAGTTAGCAGCTCTTGGGTACACAATGCTTCATGCATAACTTCACAAAGTAATGATAAACTTTTAAAACAAGGGCAATTTACACGTCAGATAAAGCTACATTTCTATAGCAAGACACTTTGTAGCGAAACTATCATAAACACAAGCTTAAATGTTGATCAGTGGCATATGTGCAGAACAAGACAGATAAAAGCAGACAGGTGGCTCTGATAATAACATGGATCCCCCAAAAAAGAAAAATTGAAGAAGAAAAAACATGAACAGGGTACAAGTATCTCATTCGGTGTCAATTGCACAGCCACCCCTCCCAGTAACCTAACATTAACCCTAACTTGCTATCAGCTGACTGTTGTTGGGTTACTGAGGAGGGGTTAATGCACAGTTGCTCAGATATTCGTACTGATCCAAAGCATTTAACAAGAAGGTAATAAATGAGTAAAGTAGAAGGCTTGTTCCACTTCTCACGTTGTGTTTCAGAGCCACGCTCAGTCCTAGAGTTTGAAACGCGGAAGTACCGCCTTAGACAGAAAATAGAGATCCCCTATGTATTTCCCTTAGTTACATGATCTTTCTGTCGTAACTCCTTCCCCATTAACATATCTAACAGCAATTGCATTGGAATATTCGGAAGAATCTTTCCACTGGTGAGCAGATATTTCCGATTCACCAGTGACAGCCGCCAAAGAGAATTTCAGTGATTTAGGCTCGGAACTTGATTCGTTCACCGCTTCTTGTGACTGGGCTTAATCGCTGGAATTGTAAAACACAGCTGAAATTTTCCTGGCCACATAGCGCCCAGCTATAACTTCACTTGTAATACCACATGGGGCACATACAATCTGTTAGTGTAGCCGACCATTGTTTTCTAGTGAATGTAGCAGACTTACCGTTTGCCTCACCTAGAGTGATATATTGCTGACAATGTACATAAATCGTTGATAAATAAACGTTGAATAACTTTACCTGTGGTGTATAGTCGTCCTTTTGCCTCAAAAATGTTTTTTTCAGCGATTTTGAATAAGTCTAATTTCGTCGTTAATGTAACGCATTAAAGAAAGACAAGGGTGGAAGCCTTGTTTTGAAAGGGTTCAAGCGCCCGAGCGATTTTGACCCCGGAAATCGCATTGCTCCGCTTTCAGACTACGCAGCATTAAGGTCAAAAGATGCACGATTCTCCTCGTACCCTCCAATCGAAAATTCAACCAAACGGACCGGAGCTAGCCCTCGAAGAAAATCAAAATCCCACAGTATTTTAGCGTCTGGGATGCGTAGCAAGATTCTCATGTGCCAGCCAGAAATCGTCACGTTGATNTTCTAGAATCCTAGTGCTCTTCGTTCGCCGCTTACTACTCTTTCTACTTAGTCGACTCTACAAATCAACATGGTGGCAACTGCGGGATTGCAAAATTCAATCATGGCGACAGGGAATTTTCCTCTACCGCCCCTACTCGACATAAATTCTGGAAATATCTCAGAAAACTTCAAACGATGGCGACGACAAGTCGAAGTGTATTTAGCCGCTTCTGGAGCGACGGCGAAGGAAAAACAAATCCAGACAGCAATCTTGAATTGTGCTGGAAATGATGTCCTCGAGGTATACGATAATTTCACGTGGAACGAGGAAGGAGATAAAGATGACCCCGAAAAAAGTCTTCGAAGCACTCGAAAAATACTGCAACCCACCAGACAACGAGGTGATGGAATCACATCGGTTCTGGAACATCGAGTATCAAGAGCCCCTCGACAAATTCTTCACTGAGCTACAAAGAAGAATCACCGCATGCAACTTTCTTGTAAAGGATAGCATGCTGAGAGATAAATTCGTCTTCACAGTGACTGGAAAACTATAAGAGCTTCTATTGAGAGAAGACAACCTCACACTCGACAAAACCCTGATAATATGCACAGCTTTTGAGCAATCAAATAAACAAGTAAAAGAGCTTAAAAACAACATCGGAAGCGCCTCACATTCAACTCCATCTAATCTCATCAAAGTCTCCAAGAAATCCAACCCAAAACTGCAAGAAAGGAGAACCAGATCCAACAAGAGCAGCATGTCGAAGGCAGGTAATGACAATTTACAGTTTGATTGTAAATATTGTGGATACAAACATGAACAAAAACGAGAAAAAATGCCCAGCCTGGGGTAAGACATGCGATAATTGCAAAGGCATGAACCATTTCAAATCCAAATGTTCAAAGAAAGTACTTGCTGTTGTGTCTCAATCGGATGATCATGACCCTAATAATGACTTTGATGACAAATGGCTTTTCGCCATTAATGATGAGGAAACTGGAGTCACAGCAAATCTCTTTCTCAATGACGGCGTAAGACGTCTTTGTGGCATGGCTCCATACGTATCCAGATTCATTTCAAATCTTGCAGGTACGCTTGAACCACTGAGAAAGTTAACTCGCAAAAATGCCTGATTTGTATGGTCCAAAGAATGCGAAGAAGCATTCGGCACTCTCAAGGAAAAGCTGTTTGAATCTGCATGCTTGGCTTATTTTGATCCTTCAGTGGAAATTGTAATCCAAGTCGACAGCAGCCAGCATGGCATAGGTGCAGTACTTCTTCAAGACGGACGTCCTATTGAGTATGCTTCACGTGCACTGACGATATCGGAGAGGAACTGGGCTCAGATTGAGAAGGCTGTGCTGAACGGACTAGATCGTTTCGATCAGTACACTTATGGTCGGGCAGTGACGGCAGAGAATGACCACAAGCCCCTGTCAGCAATACTCCGCAAACCTCTGAGCACAGCCCCTAAACGCCTTCAAGACTTGATGATGCGCTACAATCGCTATGATGTCAACTTTGTGTTTGTGACGGGATCTGAGCTTCATCTGGCTGACACATTAAGCAGAGTTCACCTCAACTCCAATGGTCACAAACACGACAACCGTGCCCGAATCATGAACGTCAACATATTCGGTAACATTCCTGATGCTCACCTGGAAGAAATACAGGAAGCAACGAAGAAAGACAACGGTCTACAAGATGTAATGGAACTAGTGATGAACGGATGGCCAGATGGAAAACGCAACATTCCTCCCTCAGCATTGC